GGGTGGGGGTGGGACAGAACCCCGCCTGTCTGGGGTGCCTTTGGCCCTTCTTGGTCTCTGTATTCCCACCTCTTGGGAGCCTGGGAAGAGGGACTCCTCCCGTGTACGGGATGCTTGGGCTCCGAGCGGCAGAGGAGGGTGGTTGGAGGGGCTGTGGCCCCTGCTGATGTCGAGCGGGGGGGGGGCATTGAAGTAGGAGGAGGAGGAGACAGAGGGAGGTGCCTTGCAGCTCCTGTCAAGGTGTTTGCTTTGTGTGTGTGTGTGTGCATGTGTGTCAGTCAAAGGATGGATCCCAGGAGCTTTTCCCTGTGAGGCCTGGTGAGAGGAGAGGAGGCAGCAGCCCTGTGGATTGTGGGATTTGGAGAATGATGTACTAGCCAAAAGTCAATTTCCTGGCCCCTTTCCTGGTGAGGAGAGTGCTCCTGGAGACGGCGCCGTGTAGCCGAGGGATGCCAGGAGGCCCCTGCCCCGTTTCTACCTGCTCCAAGGCCAGTGCCCTGGGAAGGCCTTGGCCTGCGAAGGCCAGCTGAGCAAAAACCCATTCCTGCCCGTTTCTCCTGTTGTTCCTTGTCAGATGGGGTGGAGGTGTTCTTTGATCCACCCCCCCCCTCCAAAGGTACCTGGTGAGTTGCCTCATCCAGCTGGTTTCCCATGTACAGCCAAGGGGAGGAAGTCTCCTGCAAGATAGGAGCTGCCCAGAGTGGTTTCCAGTGGAGGGTGACTGGGAGGTGGGTGGTCTGCCTCTCTGCTTGTCTTTCTAGTTTTTGAGCTGAAAAGAGATGGTCCCCGTATCTTTCTGGTCCCCCAGAACCTCCAGGCAGCCACAGTGGGTTCCGACTGGGAGAGGTTCCATCCTCCTGCGAGTTGGCTCTTGGTGGCAGGGCATGCGAGCCTCCCAGGGCGTGGGGTTGCTCTGCCCGCCCCCCGCAGGTTTGGCCATTTTGGTTCCTCCACGGAAGGTGAGCCCAGCAGCCATCCGGCCATCAGGCAGCTGCACTCAAGGGACCGGCAGGGCGGTCTGCCTGCCCGAGACCCAACGCTGGCCTGGGGCAGCTACCTTCACGTCCTGTTTGTTGGGCAAGGGTGCAAAGGGGTTAAGACGATGAAAGAGTCCAGAGTTCTGCAGAAGGAGTTGTTCTGCCCGGCTGAGAAGGGACGGGGGTTTCTGCCCTCGTGTGGCCGTAGGCTCAGGATTTGCTGAAGCGGAGTGGAGCGGTCAGGCCGACGCTCCTCCGGACATCCCGCTCAGCGAGAGCGATTGCGCTGGGATATACACGGGCAGGGCTGGATGGTTTAAATGTGGTGCTTCAGACCCGTGACCACTTCCTGTGAAGGGGTGGGCAAAGGGACCCTGGGCAGTTAGTTGGCTGCGGTTTGGGTTTTGATTCCCGTCAACATTGCGGCTTGGAACGGTCTGTGCTTCGTTGCTAGTTCCTGCGCTCAGGTGGGCGGGCAGGCGGGCGGGCAAGAGCCTGTGAACGGTGGCGTATGAGGTCTGGGTGCCACGCTCTTCAGGGGGAGCCGTCTTGGGAGGAGCTGCTGCCTGTCTTCCTGGCTTCGTGTCCTCCTCCTCCTCCGGGTTGTCTGAGCGGCTCATGCCTGACCCCGAGTGGGTCCTGGGCTCTCGAGGGGATTTTCCCGTAAGTGGAACGTGAGGCTTCCAGCAGGCACCGTCTGCGTTGTTGGCTCCTGGCATGTTTCAGCTCGTCCTTCTTTTTAGCCCAGGCTCCCAGCCCTCGTTCTGGCTAAGGAGGGAGACCCCAGAGGTGGTAAGCTCTGTAGAGCCTGGGGGGACCCATGGGCCTCTTGGCTTTTGGGGAGGGGCCTTTTCCAAGCACACCCAATGCTGCAAGGGGTGGCCTTTCACACAGCTGCCCCCCCACTGGGTTTAGTTCCTGAGGAGCCCATGTCCCAAGACGCTTCCATTTACCGTCAGTCACCGTCCTGTGAAAACTCCCATCAGCGTTCAGGTCATGGAGGGGAGGGGTGCTCACTCAACATCATCCTTGGCTACCTCTGATCCAATCACACGCTGTTGGTTCCCACTCTTGGCTTTGTGGCCTGTAACCAGAGCCAGGATCCAGACAGTTGGTGTGGATGGGTGGAGGTCAGTGAGGTGTTGTGCTCAGAAAGGCAGGGTCAGGCCTTGGGCTTCCGTCCTTTGGTTTCTGGGTGTGCCTGTCCATGCCCCTCTGAGGTCCTCCGTTCTCACTTATCCAGATTAAAACTCCGTCTTTGGGAACAATCCCTTCAACCAACCAAAATGGCCCAACCTCCTGGTAAAGCCATCTCACAAACCAAAGCAATGGACAAGGCTCTTTCTGAAGCCTCAAAACAACGCCCAGCGACCACTCCATCCCATTCTGACGCTCCGTCCACTTCGTCTAAAACTTCAAAAACCCATAAATCGAAGCGCTCGATACCAAAATCCTCAGTATTGAAGCCCTCCACTAAACGTCAAATGTCCACCAAAGCCTCTTCAGTTCCAGAACCTTCTCCACCTAAAAGACCTAAACAGCATAAATCTAAAGCTGCAGTCATTTCTCAGCAGCCTCAACAAACTGCCAATGCAATCTCTATTGGTTCACCTTCTGATGATGATGGAATCCCCTCTCATCAACCCTGCTCCCAATCACCGGAATGGGATGACAGAGTTGATCGATTAACATCTCGTCCCAGTCCTCAACACTCTGTTCTTTCGAGCAACCCTTTTGTAGTTGCTTCACCTGACATGGTCTACTCCAAACAACAATTAGAGACCATACCTTATTCGAAACTGTCATGAGTTCTGCCGAAGAAAATCTGGAATCTGAGGGGTTAATTACAGCTGAGGAGAATGCTAGGCAATCAGATTCACAGGCAGCTGAATCACCACCAGATTCTCCTCCCTCAGTAGCCAGAGTAAGGGACAAGCTTCAGCAAGGACTCATGACACGGAGATCCGAAGCCTGCATGAATACTTCCCATAGGAACATCAGGTCGACCAGCCCTGAGTATTAGCAGGATGAGGTGTTTAAATGGCTGTTGTTGCTATAAAATCTGCACCCAGATGCTGGCAAGCTTGTGGAAGCAACAAGTCAAATCTCTGGCTTGCATCCACGCTCCTGACTACCTTGAACCTTGTTCTCTGGACCCTTGGCTTTGGACTCTGACCCCCCAGCACTGCCATAAGAGTGCTTCTCTTGCCCCTAAGCAGCCACCACCAGGGGCAGCCGTCGGTTTGAAGAGATGGAGGAAAGGCAGCTGTTGGCAGGTGTGTGGCCATCAGTCCCTTTATGTCAGACATGGAGTGTCAGGGCTTCAGTTTGTGTGTGTGTGTGTGTGTGTGTGTGTTCCTGGAGCGCCAAGGGGGGAATATGGGGTGGCCGATCTACCTCTGCTGCCCCATCCCTTCCCCTTTATTTGTGCTTGTCAAACATCGTGTTACATGATTTGCTTACAACTATTTGTTTTTTACATCTCAGTATCTTCCCAGTTGTCCCCCCAAATTCCAGACATTTTTCAAATATTCAAACCATTCATGTATGTATTTTAGTATATAATATGGCTACTATCATAATATTTCTTTCATAGTGTACAATATTCTCAAGATCTTCTAATAACATTCTTAATAAAAGTAGTTCCAGATCCATGCCCCAACCTTATATCTAGTTTAATTTACCTAAAAAGAAAACCCACCATATTACATCTTTACCCTGGGTAGGGCTCCCTTATTTCAATTTAATTCTCCTTTTTAATTTAAAGGATATGCTCCTTTACAATTCCCAAAATTAAATATACACATGTTTTTCAACATTAAGGGCCCCCTTCCTATTTTTCCCTTTTTCATCTTTCTAAGTAATTCCCTCTCTTATTTCTCTTTTTTCACTTTTTGTTTCT